TTGATCGTTGGAAGTATTTACTTTAGTACAGTATATTTCAATTCATATAAAGTTCGCACATTATTATTATACCAGGTAGTTAACTTATTATAGTTATTTTGATTGTAGCTGAGATTTCTTACCAGTCGGAATGGGGAAAAATAAATGAGAAGTATCAATGTGTCACTAAACGTAAAAAAAGAAATATTCTATCTCTGTAGAAAAAATGAAGGAGAATAAAACTGTTTGCATGCTTGCCATATGGACTGGCCCAAATTATGCAGTAAAAGTACTAAAAATCTACAAAGACGACAAATTTTGGATTTTGAATATCCAGACAAACCCGTAAGGGTTTTTGTGATGTTTATATTGTGATTTTATGTATTTTTTCTTATATTAAATAAATAAAAAAGAAAAGAATTTATAAAAAGTGGAACTGAAATTATTGACTCGAGATAAGCTCGATCAATGCCGTTGCGGCAAATATTTTTATAAAAAAATATGGTAATTGACTGTAAGTACCGATTAAAAAATATTAGTTACAGTTGGTTATTTTATTTATTAAAACAGGTTGCAACCGTACTATTTATTTATTTATACCACTATTATACCGTTAGTAGATATAATGGATTATTACCAACATCGGTTAACAATCGATTACTGTGAAACAATTAAAATAATTATGTGTACTTATTTCAACACTAAGGTTCATAAATAATGAAAAATATATCAAATAAATTAATTAGATAACATAAAAATAACACACCAAAAATTTTCCATCTACTGAACTCCATCCTAAGAAAACTTTTTAATGGAAGATCAAGTTCGTTTAGTCGCTAAACTCACAGTATCATAGTGCGAGAAAGTAAATAGAGATATGAAAGAAAGAATCACTCGCGTAGGTTGTCGCTCCCTTGGAGCGTAAAATACCTAAATTCGCGTACCGCCGAAACGTAATAGGTCTCTTAATAGTTTTTGGGTTATGGGGGTTGGAAAGTGGCTCAAAATGGTTTGTGTAAATAGACATACTGCCGTGCGTCGTTTTTTTTTCTTGACGGCAGCGCTTTATGTTTAGTTGAACATCACACACATTGGTTTACTGGATTTCTTGTTCTTTCTTTCTAGGGGGGGGGGGAGGTTCACTAAGCGAATAAATTTTGCTTCTCTTGTTCGCCCCGGGGTATACAGGCTGTTTGGAAGATGGGTGCAAAGCCTAAAGGGGATGATAACATAAACCTGAATTTCTAAAGTTTTTAACAATAAAAGTGCGCGTGCGCGTGCGCGTGCGCGTGCGCGTGCGCGTGTGCGTGTGCGTGTGCGTGTGCGTTTTATTGTTAAAAACTTTTTAACAATAAAACGCACACGCGCACACACACACACACACACACACACACACACACACACACACACACACACACACACAGACACACAGACACACACAGACACACACAGACACACACAGACACACACAGACACACACAGACACACACAGACACACACAGACACACACAGACACACACAGACACACACAGACACACACAGACACACACACACACACACACACACACACGCACACACGCACACGCACGCACGCACTCACCCACGCATGCACCCACGCACGCACGCAAGTACGCACGCACGCACGCACGCACGCACGCACGCACGCACGCACGCACGCACGCACGCACGCACGCACGCACGCACGCACGCACGCACGCACGCACGCACGCACGCACGCACGCACGCACGCACGCACGCACGCACGCACGCACGCACGCACGCACGCACGCACGCACGCACGCACGCACGCACGCACGCACGCACGCACGCACGCACGCACGCACGCACGCACGCACGCACGCACGCACGCACGCACGCACCACGCACACGACGCACGCACGCACGCACGCACGCACGCACGCACACACGCACACACACACACACACACACACACACACGCACACGCACACGCACACGCACACACACACACACATTAATTTAAATTTTTTCTTTCAATTAATTGCTGATATACACACACACACACACACACACGACACTATCAGCAATTAATTTAAATTTTTTTTTTCAATTAATTGCTGATATAGTGTCCAGTAACAGTTGTTATTAGTTTTTATTTATTTTTTATTTATGTAATGTGTGATTACTGAAATGAAATAACTTCCAGATCAGAAAAACATTCTACGCATATTTAAGTTAAGAAACCAAAAAAATTAAGAACTACTACTTTCTTTTGAGGTACTCGTATTGTTTACGCAGATCTCTCATCAATTCTTGTAATTATGGTGGACAAAGCAAAATGCGGACGAATATTTTTATTTTTATAGGGACCAAAGTATTTAATTATATAATTTTTGCAAATGCACTATTGTTTTCGTTAGACCTGATTAGTTTTTAAAATTGTAGTGATAAAAGCGTGCGTAAAAAGATGTAAGTGCATGGATTAACTTCCAGGAACTCATTTAGCGAAAGCCACCGCGCGATCTAAAAAAACTTGACATTTTTTGACTCTCTAATACGTGGTAGAGCCATGTTGCAGCTATATTGTGGTATCAGCACGAATGGGTCGTCTCGACCGAGGTAGGACCACGCTCTCACAGAATACAAGCGCAAAAAAGCAGCTTAATACTGCTGTGTTTAGTATTGTGAGTGTAGAAAACCGGATATCCATTTTTACTGGAAACGAGGCATTCCATCTCAGTCCTCAGGGCTGGCAACGTGTCTGAATTTTGATTTTTAATTGAAGAGAAATGTAGATGTCTATGGGCCACAGCATCTACTTACCATCAGGTGGACTGTGTGCTCGTCTGTCACCCTTATTCTATAAAAAAAACTCTCAGTTAACGCCTACTGAATAGACTTTTATTCAATAGAACAATTAGCTTAGTAAATCACGTAAAGTCGTCATTTATTCGCACTAATTAGGATCATTACTCGAGTAGTAGGATTCGTCATATCTTCGAACTCGCAGTTGATCAAGTAACGACTATCCTTGTAACTAGACGTTTTAATTGCGAGTTTGTGTTTATTTCCGATGTTTTTGTTTGTTATTGAGTTGAACCTATACCTAGCCATGTGCTCCTTCACTTTTCTCCGATTATTTGAATGATCAATCAACTATGGCTGCTTTTACTAATGAAGAATATGCTGATATCGTCTTCATGTATGGCAAAGTTGACGGTAATGGATCTTACGTACGTACCAAGAGATATCCGAATCCAAGATTACCAAATGTCAGAGTGTTTTAGTGCACATTTCGTCGACTTTCTGAAGTTGGAATCCATCACGCGGAACCTGGAGCCAATCCGAGAAGACATAGCCCAAGTGTCGAGGAAGACATTAGTGCAGCTTTCGATACAGATTCTTCTACGATTGTCAGAGTAGTAGCTCAAAACCTCAACATTTCGGTAGGAAAGGTGTGGAATACAATGTACCGAGAAAAAGTTTAGCAAAAAGCAAGTCGTTTTTTGCTATAAAGTGACATTAAAGATGACTGGTTTTTAAAATCCATCTTGTGTCATAGTTTTCGAAAGAAGGAATTACCAACTTTTATAACCTCCATCGATGGGCTGGTGAAGACAACGCTGGAAGAAGCTGGTGTCGTTGTCGTCAAAGGAATTTTCAGTAAACGTTGATTGGTCCTCACTTCCTACCAGATAATTTATGTGACAATTATTTGGAATTCCTCATAAACGATCTCCCAGAGCTTCTGGACGAGGCGACCAATATTGGCAACGAGAAGACCAATCTTTCAGCAAGATGGTTGTCCAGCTCATTGAACTCTAAACGTGTGAGAACATTTAAATAATTATTTCCCAGATAACTGGATCGGCAGAGACGGGCCAATCACCTTAATCGCCTGTTTTAACTCCTGTGGATTTTTCAATTTCGGACGGACCAAGATACTCGTCCACACGCATGTGGAAATACCAATCAGAGAGGAGTTAACAGGAAGAATCCATACAGCTTTTCAAGTTATGAAGCAGGTGATGAAAATAAAAATTACAACAAACTGAGAAGACGAGCACGCGCTTGTGTCAGATATCGCGATCGACATTTCGACAAAAAATGTTATCTTATTATTCTTAAACTTAAATATGCGTAGAATGTTTTTCTGATGATGAAGCTGCTTGGAAATTATTTTCTTTGAGTAACTAAATACATTTCATTAATAAAAACTAATAACATCACAACTGTTATGAGACACAGTAGCAATTAATTGAAAAATGGGGGTTTTAATGATAAGAACCTTAGAAATTAAATTAAAAAAATTGGTTGACCCTGCGGGCCATCCCTGGGACTTCCTTCTAACTTCAATATCAAAGCGCTCAAAATTCCACTTATTATTAAATAATAATAATTGTATATAATTTTTATTTTTTATTTTTTCAGAATTAAATATTTCACGAACTAATCAATCGATTTTGATGTGATTTACGGCAATCATTTCATAATCAAACATTACAAAAAATTGATTTCGTGGAAAGTTTTCAAGTTATTTGAAAAAACACTTTTCGAGATTTCTTTCGACAACGATATCTCTCGAACGAATCACCCGATTATGATGCGGTTCACGTCAATTGACGTCGTTTTTTATGTAAAAGATCTGAACTCAAAAACTGGGATGAAAACAATAACTTCCCCATTTTTTAAAAATCATTGATTTTCATAGCGGCAAGTTAAAAAGGAGCAGACTTCGTCTAAGATAAGTTTAGCTTAATATGTTCTAAATGGTTACCCTTTACCCTTTAAGCTTTGCATCTATCTTCCAAACAGCCTGTATATTAAGCCGAGACTGAGCAGCACTCTACGAAAAGCTGCCGCAACGTTGACACGACTCTACATCCATCCTAATTTGTTACCTTAACCCGATGATTCTAGTAACGATAGTCATAATGATATTCTAGAATGTAGTGATGAATTTCAAGTATTGTAAAATAATAACTGTGAAATATAATAAACATTTAAAACAAAATAGTAACAAAAATAAAAGTCTTAGTTACCTTAAGT